CACGCGTGGCAACCCTGTGAAATGCAACAATAAACCTCAAATTCGTATTCCTTCGCAACGGCCCAGTCGGCCTAAAATTCTCTCAGCCCCCTTTCCTAGATGAGTCTAAACTGTTGGCGAAGTGCTGTAAAAATAGCTATTTGAAAGAAACACCCCCCTCTCTCTCTCTCTCTCTCTCTCTCTTTTTTTTGCAAGGTCTCATGCCATAGATTTTATTGAAGCAATTATTTAACAACCCAATTCTAGTGTGCTTCCCTGTTCCTTCTGACTCTGGGTGGAACCCACCGGCTTTTTCTCACAACCTCAGCGTCTTAATGCCACCTCCTTCCTTCCCCCCAATAATATGTTTGGGTCCCAATTATGTCACAATGACCCAAGACCCGGTTCGGATCCCTCTTAGCTCCTCAGCCCCTCTCCAGAAGTCAAAGAAGTTCCACGGGCGTGAAAATCCATAATCCAGCCAGGAGAGTCGCAGCCCCGCACTTACGTGTTAGTTCATGGGGGAGAAAGACTTTAGCACCCACAATATTGGTTGGAAGATACACTCACTCACACTTTAATTTCCTTCCCCACAGTTTGTCCTTTACAAGGGCAACCAGGTTTCACTGTCCCACGGCGTTAGGAGCGACTACGCTTGCAAACCTCTTTTCAACCCGTGTTTTTTTTAGCCAGAGTAAAGTTTCATTTCTTGGGAAAGTGCCCACATGCGTAAATTGTTTTGCTTCTCTTCAGACCAGGATTTTTTTTTTCTTGCGGATTTTGAACAGACGGCGGTATTCATGCTACGAGGCAGCACAGGAAATGGTAAATAAAGGTAGATCCTTCTGCTTTTCGGCTACAAGAAACTTGATTTCACTTTTTTAAAGAAAGGGACCTAGGGAAGGATAATGATTCTTCGCCCTCCTCATGCGTTTTGCGAGCTGGACTTTCCTTTCCTAACCTCTTAGACTGGTGTAAACGCATCATTCCTATATTCTGTTGGCTTTAAGCTGAGCTTTGCTTTTTGTTTTCTGTCTCCTTCTATTCCTTTCCCATCAGTTATGACACTGTTTGGTTATTATTTCAGGATGAGCGTTCTTCACAGCTGTAAAATGAAGGCGAGGGAATTTGGCATGTGGGGTTATCCTGGGATCTTGCTCTTCAATGTCTGGATAGCTATGAAGTTCACTCCCTATTTTTATTCACCTTGTATTAATTACCCGTATCTCCTTAAAAGAAAAACTACACGACAGGGTGGATTTCTCTTAAAGGAAAGGATATGATACATATTGAGCACAGGCGCCATATTAGCCTTTTGGCTCGGAACTCTGGACCAAATTCTACAATCTTTGCCCAAGTCTGGTTTAAGATAAAATTACTATGGTGGTAAATGGTTTTTTTTTTTTTTTGGCCCGGAAAAGGAATACCGGGTCAGAACTTTGCTGTCCCCAGAATTTTTCTACCTTCTAAGGGATGATAAGGAAGCGAAATGACATGGAGAAAAATGCCATTTCCAATACGTGGCAACAACAGTTTGTTTTTTATACAAGGGTTAAATATGTTTCCGGTAAGAAATGGGTCTTCTGTTTTTTTCCTGTGCAGATCTTATAAACCAGTAAAATGTGACTGTTACAAAGAGTCACTACGTGGCTATTTAAAACACACTTTATATTGGCTGATTTCCGCATAGAACTTATCCGCCCCACAAACTGATGTCTCAGGGTGAAATTGGGCAGTGGGAGACGCTAGTTAGAAATGACTTCTTCCCCTCCCCGCAAACAATAAATATTTATAAATAGCAACTGGGTTCAAAGAAGCTTTGGCTTTCCAGTCCAAGCCCAAAATATTTAGCATTTTTCCTCACAGCCAACAGGACTTGAAAAAGTTTGGCAGGGAGTCTGAAAACAAAACAAAAGTGTCTCTTCTAGATTTCTGGGAAATAACTGCTCCCGTTCACTTCCTGTGCCCAATTCATAAATGCGCAGCTCTAAAACGGATCCGTCCAGTAAATAAATCAAGCAGGACTTGTACATTATCTGTCCAAATATACCCAAATTACGCCCAGGCAAGGTCAGAATCTCCAAGGAGTTCTCTTTTGCTTCTCCTTATCCAAGTTATTTGCAAAGCACTTAAGTTTTCATGCAATGCGAGGCGTATGTTGTTATCTTAATTCAGTTCTCTAAAATGTACCCCTACCCAACACAGTACAGAGACCAAAGTGCAGCCTCAAAAGGGATAGATCTGATGGTGCAATACAGGCGGGAAGAAGAATAGAGACCACTCTCCATCTATCCCTCCCTCCGCGAAGATACACGAAGATGAAATATGGTGATGTACATTAAAAGTAAACCACTGGATAAACAGAAGCCTCCAAAGCAGCCAAAGTAAATGGATTCTCCAGGTCTCCTTGTGTGGTTTCCATCCACTTGGGATCTCAACCCCTTTGGATTCTGCTTTGGAGACTTTTTAGTTTTAATTTATATACTCCCGAAAATTATATACTCCGCAGCTGACACGCTTCACAATTATTTATAGGAGGCGCTCTCCGATTTTTTTCCCCCCAAGAATATATTTATGACAGGTAAGACATGGCCAATTTATCTTGCAAACCCAGAACAGGTGCTTGGCCTCAATGAATGTTCAGTAGTTTCTTACACGTTCCTTTTCTATCCCCACCGCCGCCGTGGCTACTTGGCCATCATTTATATCATAAACACGCTCTCACCAGCTCAGGAAGTTTGAGCGCCACAATCCACTTACATCAGTCCACTCCTTTCCAAGCTATCATAATATTTGGGGAGTTCCTCCGACTCCCGTGATGGGAGAGATTGGGTTATTTTTTCTTTTTTTAATATCATTTCTGCCAGGCAATAAAAACTGAGAAATATGACAGTGTACGCAGCGGACACATATTTCATTGTTAATAACGCAAGGGGTATTTCCATTTCGGAACCTGTCCGACTCTACGAGGGAAGATTTTTTAGAAAGTTAGAGGGGGGAAAAACAAGGATTATGCAAGGCGCGTGGCCCAAACCTTTTTTTTTTTACTGGTACACACTGGAGATTGTTCCTTAAGGAAACCCGGTCCCGCACACTTACCCAGAACACTAACTACGCTTGGGTAAGGAATTCCGTGAGTTGCTCTTCCATCGATTTATATCCAATTGGAACGAAAAGGAGTTACTTCGGATTTACCCTGATGTGAATTTTACCCTGATGAAGGTGAGAGCAGCATCGGAACCAGTGGGAGTCGTCACCTGTACAAATGTATTCACGGCACCATTTCAGGATCCCAGATTAGTGGATATAAACAAAATCATAGCAGGCTCTGCAAACCGTGAAAGAATTTGCGCTTTTGTTGTTATTGCCGGATGCATGTACTGATGGAATTACATATTAAGGGCAGGATTAAATATTTCCTGTCCTTACACACCCACTACCTCGACTTATTTTAGAAAAGATCTAGTTGCTGATAAGAACTCATCTAGAAGTAGACACATGCAAGCAAATGAGACATATGTCACTCACACAGTCTACAGCTTACTTGCTAGCCTCAAATACATTTTATAGGCATTCAGGAAAAATGTAAAGGTTTGGGGTTAGGTTTCTTAAGAGCCTGTACAATTTTCCACCGGTAAAATTGTCTTGTAGAGATTTGTCATGTGTTTATACCTATATCTATAGAACATGAAAGAGAGAGGAGAGAGATTTGTTTTGTTTTCTCTTAATTTGAAGAAGGTGACTTAACACTCAATATCTGATGATTAGTCAGCTCCTAAAGACATGGCAAATGTACATCAGAGCAAATGTAGAAAATATTCTTGCTGCGTAATCATGTTAGCAAGTTCTAGTCTATTCATTGTAACAAGAATTCTGGGTGCAGGGAAGAATTCTATAGAAATCTAAGGAGGAAATTCTATAGAGATTCAAGGAGACTCAGGTAAAGTCCGAGGATAATTTTGCGCACAGTCACGCTAGAATTAAAATCTTAGTGTATTTTCCTGGACAGACTGCATCTGACATAATTTGTCTGAACAGACGCTATTTCCGCCAGAGCCCGGACTAGTTGGATCTCCTTAACGCGTGTGTTATTCGTGTCCTGAACTATTAGCAAAAAAGAAAAGCACTCCGTTTTTGTTTTAAATATCATGTTTACACGCAAGTGAATTTTTTTCACACATGGATGAAGGGCTGTGACTGTGGCAGTGAGATAGGGTGTCGAGACGTAAAACGTGAAAGATTCCTTTTCTTTTCCACAGGCAGTAAATTCAAGGCTATAAAAAATCAAAGAAAGCTAATGTAAGTTTTATTAAACTATTTAACCGCCACAAAGCAGGATCCGTGCCACACGGTATTCATCGGCCTTGTACAGTGAAAAGACGGCGTCTGGTTTCAAGCGGTGTGTTGGACTATCTGAGCCTTCGCCATACAATCCAGGGGTTACCCTGTGAAGAGCAAGGAGGTGCACTCTCCCTTTTCCCATGTAAGGCAAACCCAGAGCCCCTACAAACGGAGGGATTCTGCCCCTCTAGTCAAAGTGATTCTGTCAAGTACATTGCAACCATATTTGAAATTTTAGAACTCCGGTTATTTTTCCTGGGTTTACCAATTTCCACCCAGTCCGGGAGGGATAATTCTCTCCAACCAGCCCCTCCCCTAGTTTAACAATGCACGAGCCTCCTTCTCGCTAATAACTAACTTTGCAGCCGAATTAATCCCTATTCCTCCCGGCATGAGGGTTGTTAAAGCCGGGGAGATCCGCGTGTTGTGTGTCTCCCTTTTCAGAAGCGCATCTATGAAGGCGTATTCGCCCCGCACTGTACGTCTCGTGGCTTTCGAAGCTTCTGACGTTTTGCAACATTGCATAAACATAAAACAATCCATCCTTGATATGGAATGCAAGGGCGAATGACAGAGCCGCCCAGCCCCCTTCGGCTGCGATTGATTTACGCCTCTACTGACGCTTTATCAGGCGCACGAAAAAAAAGCGCATCTATGAAGGCGTATTCGCCCCGCACTGTACGTCTCGTGGCTTTCGAAGCTTCTGACGTTTTGCAACATTGCATAAACATAAAACAATCCATCCTTGATATGGAATGCAAGGGCGAATGACAGAGCCGCCCAGCCCCCTTCGGCTGCGATTGATTTACGCCTCTACTGACGCTTTATCAGGCGCACGAAAAAAGTTTGACCAATCATTTTGCTAGGAGCTCACAACACAGCAGCTCCACTGTACTTTGTTGGCTAGGAAGTTGGAGAAGGGGGTGAGAGTACAAATCTAGATCTGTCCTATATATTTTTTTCCCTTCATTGAACCGTACTTTGTATGATGTCTGAGAATGTCCATTTCTGGGACTCTTAGCAATTATTATGTCGACTCTATTATAAGTCACGAAAGTGAAGACTCGCCTGCAGCTAAATTTTCAACTGGCCAGTATACCAGTTCCAGGCAAGTTGGCCATAATGAGCAGCTAGAATTCCCCTCTTGTAGTTTCCAGCCAAAACCTCCAGTTTTCAGCGCCTCCTGGACTCCTTTGAATGCACATTCTTCCGGTACCCTTCCTTCGGTCTATCATCCATATATTCAACATCAAAGCGTCCCTTCCGATAACAGGTATCTACGGAGCTGGCTGGATCCCGTGCCCAGAACAGAGACCATACCCGGGCAGGGTTCAGTTAAAGCGGAACCTCTTCTGGGGCACCCCGGGGAAGTCCATAAAGAAGGCGCCCCGGAGTACAATTTAGAAACTTCTGCTGCAAGGGAGGCGATCGTTTCCAATCAAAGGCCCAGCTTCGAAGACAATAAAGTTTGTGAAGGAAGCGAGGACAAAGGCAGGCCAGATCAAAGTAAGTTATAAAAGTGAGGAAGTAAACAGCATAAAAGCGGAGGAGGTGCCATAAAACGGGACAATGCGGAGCAAAGTTAAAATCATGTCTGAAAGAAAACCGCTCGGATTACTGGTGCCAGCCTAAAGGACGGGAACGGGTGGTGGAAAGAGGTGGGAGGACTGGCGGGGAGGGGGGGGAGAGAAGGGCATTGGTGTTATTAAAACTCCTGAAGCAAGGTATAGGCGAGAGCAAACGCAAAATGCTTTCTCCAACCCTGACATGCGTTGCTCCAAGCTCGGAACCCGGGGCATTCCTAGCAGAGGGTGAAAAGAGCTTAGGGAGGGGGGAAAAACCAAATATTGGAAAGGGACTGGGGGGTGGGGTGGGGTGGGTGGAAGGCGGACGAGTTCACGTGGAGAAGTAAACAGCCCCGATGTCTCTTTCATGCTAGCTGCTCTGACTTACCTTGAGAGATCCAAAGCGGACGGGTTACCTCGGGTTTTCCCCCCCTACATCTGTCACGCTGCCGCTTTCTGTTTGTTTATTAAATGGAACGGGAGGGTTGGAAGGGTTCAGAGCCAGGCTCCCAGGCAAGAAAGGGGTCTGAACTTCACTCGGGCTTGGTGTGTCAGGGAGCAGACTGGTGAGCGGGTCAGCGGGGTCTTGCGCCTCTGTGGGTGTTGTTGGCGTGTATGTACAACGCCTGCATGGAGATACAATCAGTATGTGCGTTTATAGACCCCCACGTAGATGTACATATCTATTCACCCGCAGCTTTCGATGCACAGCGAGGCGGTTCGAGCAAAAGCGCCTCTCGTACCTGAGTCCTTTGAAAGGTAAAAGCAGGACTCAGCCCGGCTGTAAATAATTGGCCCGGGATGCCCCAAGCTTTGGAAACGAACTTGAGAGCGCTGGGCGCCAAGTGACCGAGCTCTGCCCCTCTGAAGTGGCGGCTGTTAGTTTGCAGCGCGGAGGAGATATTTAATTCTTAATCAGAAGCATTTTTTAAAAAGCCCATCCCGCGGAGTGAGGCGAAGCGATTCCTCTCCTTGAACCGCGCACAAACAGACAGTCCGAGTCTATTGTACCGGGCAGAGATCCAGAACAAACTGCGGGTGAGGTGAATGACTAGGCAGAATTACAACAGGCGGGCGGGTCGCTGCATGCGCCTGAAACCGAACAAATACAAATATTGTCCTCGAAAGTCCTGGGATCCACTTACTTCGATAGGTGGTTAGGACGCTCATTTTGTTTTGGCTCACAGTTTAAAGTTGGCAGCTGTTGACAGGATGCCAACAAAAATTTGCAGCAGAGCTAGAAGCGAGACTGGAGGGTGGGTTTTTTTTCCTCCCAGAGAGACCTTCTCATCAGTTTCAATTTTGGGGGGGAAAGTTTTGCATAATAAGGAAGCTCGTGCCGCCACCACATTGTAATGCGGTGGTTGGATTAAAAAAAAAACCAACCTCCCGTCCCAAATAATTTCTCATTTGCTTCCCTGGCTAGGGGTTGGCAGGCAATTGATAGAGCAACCCAGTCCCCTGTATAAAATGCAACGTTTTTCGAAGATCTTCTATGAAAAAGAGCACTCCACTGCCATTAAAAGACAGGTCGCAGGACTAACCGTATCAATTATTAACAGCGTTCTTCCTCTTTAATATTTAATTCTGCATATTAGATCAAGTCAATTACACTAAGGAAATAGTCGTGCAAATGTGTAAGGCGCAGTACTTACAGTGGAAGAGTTGCAGGGTTATTTTTAAAATATCCAATCCATGTCATTTTACATGGAGAAAGCATTCTGTTGGTGCACTTTATTTATGTATTGGTTACTATAACGCTCCATTGAATTGGTGTAAAGGGCGATGGCTTTATCTCTAGTTTCAGGAGAGGCAAAGGAAGTACAAGGATATAATCTTCTCATTTGATTCCCCTTTGGCTCCCAAGTTAACTAATGGCCAGGCAGTTTAATGCTTACATGTCATCAGTAGAAGTTTGCAAAGCATTTCGCTCCCCTACCCCCAAATATTCCAGCACACCTTGGTGACAACTACGCCAGGTCTATTTTTTGGCACTAGTGCTATTGTGTTGTGAATACACATGATCAGACACGCGGTCCTCATTCTCTATTTCGAGTTTCTGGTGCAAAGTCTTTTTTGTTCTTTACTCTCCACCTCGATTAGATGAAATCACTGGGAAATGTTCTAATGCCCAGGGCCACATTAGCCGAGGAGGGCAGACCGAGTGTATAACGTTGCTCCTTCCCATTGCTTTACTTACCTTTACAAAGGGCTGCTAATACAATTGTGTTTCTGAAAAACACTGACCAGACCTCACTTAAGTATCCCTTCAGCCACCAGGGATGTTTATTGTATTAGGACCATTGCCTGGTACTTAGCAAAAATAGGCCTGATTTATTGAAGCCTTATTCAGAAGTTAATCTATGTATTTTCTGAAGTACAGCGGTACCAGGAATGGGCTAATCATACGCATGCACACCTACCTGCAACCTATGCCTTTAGATGCCTGACTTACTCGCCGTCTGTCTTAATCCACACGTGTGTGCCTGGCCTGAGACCCATGTACACACACATGCATCTGTACATGTAGAGGCCCCGATCCTGAAACCACTTTAGTGCTTAATTGGAAAACAATGGGGCCATTCCAAGGGCGGAGGAGGGGGTCAAGTTGAGCACTGGAGTCATTGTTTGCAGGATCGGGGTCCTAGACATCCACCCTGGACACAGGTAGGTGTGTGTGTGTGTGTGTGCGCGTGCTTTTGTGAACATGCATGCTTTTCACGTAGCCTTGTTCTGGTAACTCATATCTCAGTGGCCATTTGTCCATGTATCCAGGTCGGAATATTCGATGGCCTTATTGATTAAAAGCACTCTGAGAAGCGAGGAGTACTGATCTTGCTGCTTGTCTTTCAGCCAACCCAGCGGCCAACTGGCTACATGCCCGCTCCTCCCGGAAAAAGCGATGCCCTTACACCAAATACCAGACCCTGGAGCTAGAGAAGGAGTTTTTGTTCAATATGTACCTCACCAGGGACCGTAGACACGAAGTGGCCAGACTCCTCAACCTGAGTGAAAGACAAGTCAAAATCTGGTTTCAGAACCGAAGGATGAAAATGAAGAAAATGAACAAGGAACAGGGCAAAGAATAAGAGGCAGGAGGCAGATGCATCTTCCTCTCTGTGTATGGGAGGCAGCTTCCGAGCTCCACTATTGATCATAAATAAAACACGTGGGTTTTTTTTTTCGGTTCCACCTTGTCAAGCGGGAAGTTCTGCTTAATCTTGCCAGTTAGAAAGCTACTCATGTGCAGGGGCAGCTCCTGATTTGGGACACATTATGGGTTTTGTTTTTAGGGCCCCTCCCCCCATCCATTGTAGACCTAACAGGCCCATAGCTGTGTCTCCATCGGGATATGTTGCCTCGATTTTCTAAATGAAAGGCAAACAAACAAACAAAATCCAGTAACTACACCCACCGTGTCACAAATAACCATAGCCCATGACACCCCCCACCCCCCTCTTTGTAACCACATGATGGTATCTCTTACTCCAGCCTCACCACACACCCACCTACAGAAACTGAAGTGGCAAAGAAATCAGACAATTTACTAGAAGACAGACACGTTCTTAAGAATTGAATTAAACTGCGGCACATCATTTTTTTTCCATTCACCCACTTTATACTGATGTACTCGGATTAATGACACTCCATTACCCCACTGCACCTATGTTTTTATTATTCTAATTCTTATTCTTTCAATCTCTCTGTGGTGGATCAGTGATTTTGACCAGGGAACATAGTATAATCTTAGAAATAATTCTCCCAAACTGGTAGTTTTATACTGGGTCGTTTAAAAAGCCTATCAGAATGAAAGTGTTATTTAACAAAAAATAAGAACAAAAAGAAAAAAAAGAAAAGAAAAAAGACAAAAAAGACAAAAAAAGACCCCCTTCCAACTTATTCTTAACTTTTAGAGGAGAAAAATGTCATTTTTCTAGTTAAAAACAAACAGAAAACAAAACAAAAAACCCCTACCTTAGTAGATCTATAAGAGAAGGTAAAGTTGTATTCTTAGTGTTAGAGTATTTATAATTTATTGTGGAATGAATTTTCCTAAGGAATTAGGTTGGTTCAGAAGTAAAATGCCCGGGCTGGTGCTTGTCCATGTTCTTCCCCGGAAATTTCAGCGGAGAAGTTTGTACTTGAATGTTTGCTTCTGATCTGCTAGAAACGAATGAATCACGTTTTACATTTATCCCCTTGTTTACATTTGGAACACAAGGACCTTCTAAGACGTGCTGTGGCAATTTCACACGCAAAGGGACACTGGTTGGGTGACATAAAAGAATTGTGATTGTCTTGTGGTTGGCTTTTTATTTTTTATTTTTTGAGGTGCATTTAATGTAACAAATATGTATCCTAATTGTTTACAAAAGAGGCCTCATTTCATGGTGGAAGGAACGGAATTCTCATCTGAAAGATCTCATGGAGGTTTCTCCAGACCATCCAACCAGGATTGTGAATCCCTTATCTCTCTGTAAGACTTAACTTTTTTGGGGGGGAGGGAGGGATAAGAGTGGGAGAGGAGTGGGAGGAGGGGGAGTAACTTTAGTACAAGTTGACTGACTATATGATGGCTGTTGTAAAATGTGTCTGTGATTGTGTTTCTGTGGACGCTGAAACTTGTTTTATGTTTTCAATGTCTCTTTGAGTATACCTTGAGATCTTTCATTGTTACTTTTCAAAGAGAGACGACCAGTATCGAAATAAACCTATCTTTTTTTTTCGTGTGCACATTTGTATACCAAGCTACCAACAGTCTTTCTAGGAATAACACAGCGTATGGTGGCAAGTTTAAATAGAAAAAGAGAGAGAGAGAGAGAGAGAAAAGAAAGAGAGAGAAAAATATATTTCTGGTGGTGTGTGAGCCAAACAATACAAATCTAATTTCATAGAGGAGAAAACTGATTGTACTTTTAGAAAAAGATTTTATACTACTTTTTTCTGCTGATAAGAGATTGCTCTGTAGAGATTGGAAAGTGAGATTTACATCTTCGGCGCATGATCCTGCTTTGCAAATTATCCAACGGTGCTTTTCTGTTCGCTGCAATTGACACAAGTTTCGTTTTCCCCCTTCAAAAAAATCTTTCCGAAACCAGACCCGAAAAAATTTAAGCCCATGTTTAATCTTTAAGAAGCTTTTTGTTTTTGTTTGTTTGTTTTACACTTTCTTGTGTCAAACTTCCCAACTTTAAATGCTGGGAAGCCTCAGCGGATTTCGTCTAACCTAACGTCACGTTGGATGGAAATTTTCCCTCGCAAAAGAAATTCCAAAAACCAGGGAACCCCCTATTTTGAATTTTAAAAAAGGGGGAAAAGATCATTATTCTTAACCTGCCTTTACTTTCAAAATCATCTGAAATGAAACGTAACCAATGGGCACGTTAAAGTTGCGGGTTCTGTGTGTTATATTTAGTTTTTCCTGCCCTTTTCCATTGAAAGAAGGACGAATATTTCTAAAGCATAGCATTAACGAACTGAATATACTTCCTAAATCAGGCATGTGGAGCCAGACTGGTCCGAGACAGGCTTGTGTAAACACCTACTATTTAAAAACAAACAACCGATCAAATCTTAACCATAACTTTTAATCCACTTGTTCTACCTATTGGACTTGAGGCTACAGCATCCTTTCCCCCCTGTCCTTAGCTTTGTGGATACCTTTAAGGCAACAGTGAACTTATGCTTTTAAACATGGTAAAATGTTACTTCATTTTGGTAGAGGATTTGGTTTGTTTGTTTTTAAAGAACAAATTGTTGGAAAACCTGACTTCTGTTGCACGAGTCCAAATGTATTTTCTACGGATGTTTCATGTTCCAGAATAAAAATCGATTTTAGAACCATAATACCTATATTTCATTGTGTTCCACTGCTTTCCCTAAAAATTCGGAAATATTTTCAGTGTGTTTCCCTGAGTTCAATAGTGGTTCGTTAAATGTACTATAAAGATAATTTTTTTAGCTTGTGTACGGGGGGGGCGGGGGAGGAGAAGTGTCCATGGGAGAAATGAAATTAATTATTTTCTACTGTTTCCATTCTAACCTACTCCATTCCTAACCAAAACCATTTTGCAAAACATTTTGAGTCTTTCCTTCTGGGGTTAGATGCGCAGTTATTTTGTGTCTACGTAGTCTACAATGCAGGAAAGATGAGTGGGGATTTTTTTTAACTTTGCAAACGAAAACAACAACCACTCCACCTTTGGTTGGATTGTTCACAGCATATAACACTTTTTTCCTAGGGCTGGATAAGAATTCACTATAACCCCTGACATAAAAATCGTTTTGCACGTTATGTCTTACGCTGCAACATAAGTCCTTGGAAAGTAAAACAAACAAACAGACCCAAAACGAGACCCTAAAGTTCAGGACAGCTGGAAATTGAGAAATACACACAAGATTCCTCTAACGTTGTTAACATAAAAAAGAGTGCTCTAAAAGGCGACATTTTACTTAAAAAGAGGGGGGACCTTCTTCTATGGGGTAGCCCCAAGAAAACAAAAGAAGTTAAACGATTTTTGGAGCTTAGTGGAGAAAGAGAGGAAGGGAAGTAACTTGTCATAAAAAGATAAGTGCAGTGTGCTGCAATAAAAGAATATGACCGCTATAAAACTTTACAGGGTATAAATTTCTGAAGGTTAAAGAACTAAACGGCTGTAAAACAAACAGTGCAAGAAAACTTTCAGGAGCTCTTAAATTACTACAACGACTTGGGTATGTGGGGAAACCCAACATGTAAATACTCTTCTTTCTGCTTCAATCACATACAAAGTTTTTGTTTAAAGTCGTCCCCCCCCCCCCCAAGGGGGGGGGTGGGGGGAAGGGAATATGTTAATTCATTCTTCTTTATTCTTTCCTTGCAGATGCCGTGAAAATCCAGCTTTCTGGATGCTTCCCTTTGTTCTTTCTTTCTTAGCAATTCCAGGCTGCCAGAATCCCCGAGCCATTAACTCACAACAACAACAACACCACACACACACATACACACACACACAAGTTCTGGCGAGACGTCTGGGCTTGGGAAGTTCTTTATCTGTTTACAGCCCTACCCTTCCCCCTCCAGAGGAGAATGCCCAATTGTTTAGTCTCGGGTTTTGAAACAATAGTGTGTTTCAAAAGTAAATCCATTCTCCCCGCTTTATTGCTCCTAAAACGACTGGATGATGGGGGTACTTTGGAGAAAAAATCGGTGTCTTGCTTTTACTTTTTTATCACCACCTATCCGCAGAGTTTCACGAACCGTTTCCTGATTTCCAAGCTTCACCCCTCCCCCACAAATAAGTCCCCCCCCAACCTTTCCCCGACTCTTTTTATTGGATTCATCTGTTTGTGTAGCTAGGTTTTTTTTAACTCATACGGTCGCTAGATGGCGCTATTGCTCCATGTTAAAAATCAAACGCGGGTCAGTTCTTTAATACTAAGGCTATTTAATAGCACCTTGATTTCACTGGAAACAACAAAACTTGTATATTTCAGAAGAGTATGAATAATCCTGAGAGATAAAATATAGGGTTAATTATAGCAATTTTGCCCATTTTATAGGTTACATCTATTTTGTCCTGAGAGTGTAAATTATATGAAATTCAAATCTGGAAGGTAGGACAATTTGGGATGAAACCATTATCTATGTTAGACATTTATAAAAACAGCTATTTTGTCGCCTACCGGTTAGTTCGGTTTGTTAGAAAACAACATTTTCATGAGGTTAAAATGTAAGGAGTACATTTTCAAAAATGAAAAAGAAGGAATGGAAGATTCTTTTAAAAAACAGAGAGCATATTTTCAAAATACATATATGCAGTATACTGTCTCATTTGTTTATTTAAAATTGTTTACATTAATAGACATCAAAGAATTTACAAATAGCACGTCTGTTATGGCTATCGAACCGCTGTACTTTTGTATATTTGCTCAATGGTTCCATTACACTGCGCATTGATTGTTTTCTTAACTGATGTAAGAAAATATAAGAAGGAGCCTAAGTAAAGTATAAAAAAATTAAAATAAAAAAATAGTTAATTTACCGAGCTGAAATACTTTAGAATGATTCCACTGGCCCAGCAACCGTAACAATATGAAAGTTTTGTATCTATAATTTCATTTTCATTAGAATCTTTCCCCTCTTCAAATTAAGAAGCAGTAAAATCTACTGACGCAAATACGTGTAAGAAAGAAGCAAAACCAAGGAAACACAGGCACGCAATTTTAATATAAGATTTTTTAAAAACACTTTTGTACCAAAACATTTTCTGGATAAATACTTCTCTTCACAAGCGCAACGAATTTATCCTTTTTCAAGACATCATTTTCCAGAATGGAATGTAACAAACTTAAAAAGATACTTTACCAAAAGTAATCGTTTTCGATGCAGAATTTAAGAGCTTGCTTATAACTCTAAAATTTAAATAGTTGTACATTGTATTTAAATATTCTAAAAAACCAATACCCATTGAAACAGAAATACCTGCAAAATTAATGGAAGTCCATTTTATACAACCAATAAAATGCAAAATAATGAAAAGTTATGGTATCTGTAGTAAGATTTTTTTCTATGTGATTTTCTAATAAATCTTTCCTCTACTGGGTATTTATAAATTATCTTCTCTCTCTCTCTCACTCTCTCTCTCTCTCTCTCTCTTGTTTTTTTCTTATAACAGAAACATTTTCCTTTCACCAGAGATCACTAGTACAATATATGGATGATTTAGGGCCAGCCATTGATTTCTGATGCATTGATGAGTTAGTACTACATCATGACCATAAAATTCTACTGCACTTGCTAAAAATATTAGCTTCCAAGATTCCAACAGAACTGCCCCCTTCTCTGAATCTTTTCATACCAATATCTGAGTTTATAACATGTTTCATTTTATATAAATCTATGCAGACAGAAGAACATCAGTTCCTTTCTGAAAATAGACTATTTATTTGGGTTTTATTTGTTTGTTGTTGAAAATAATCATTGTAATTTTTCAACCACAACAATAAAACCCCCGAGATGTTTTACTCTGTTTACTCAGCCGATCTATCTATCTATCTATCTATCTATCTATCTATCTATCTATCTATCTATCTATCTATAACGATGAAAACAAACTGTACTCAATCGACAGTAAAATTGTCTGGACAAATAAAACCTTAACTTGTGTTTAGAAGGAAAAAACCTTAATTATGCTTCTGCAAACACTCCAAGAACAATAATTACATGAAAAAGATTTTGGAATAAGATGAAATTATTCCTATCCGAAATAGAAGACAAGTAATAGTAAGGATGGTTTAAAATGGTTTACAACTTTTATTTTCTTTCTTTCTTTCTTTCTTTCTTTCTTTCTTTCTTTCTTTCTTTCTTTCTTTCTTTCTTTCTTTCTTTCTTTCTTTCTTTCTTTCTTTCTACTGTCTGTTTTCAAGATAGTATTTTATGCACAATAATAGGCTTTATTTTTTTCTTATTAGCCTTTTGGAAGCAGACGATTGAAAATTGTCTCAGTTTCAGGCTGGGCGCGAAATAATGTTTTATTCCCCTTTCGTGTGTAAATATAAGGTAGTCGGATAGAATGGAAAGCAGTTTATGTGCAGACAGGGCTCAAAGAAAGATACAGATGTACAGAATGTCTCTTTACCTCCTATTGAAGTTGAAAGATTGAAAAATATAGCATGGAAGAATAGATGGAGTGATAGGAGGGAGTGCTGATTGTTTAGAAACACTAAGAAGCGCTTAAGTTGGGAGGGATTTGTGTAGTTATTATCTGAAATATGTTTCAGCAATATTTGCTGACTGCGATAAATGAATTTCAAAATCTACCCCCTGTGTGTTTATATTGTGGAAAATTGCAATGCTAGCGTGTTAGGGATAACTTTGCTCGGTTGTTCCCAAATGTCAATAAAAGAGAAAGTCTTTCCATCTCGTTCGCCCCACCCCACCCCCGCTCTTCTTCCTTTCGCGTAAAAAAAATAAAATAAAAGTTTAAGCTGGTGGGAGGGGGTGTGTGGAGATGCGGGGCCAGGCATCAGTTAATGCCCATAAGGGTTCTGTTTTGGATGTGATAAGCGAAACAATCCTTTAGGTTCCCATCTTTTACATC